AAACCAATGGAAAAAAGATATCACAAATTACCATTATTAAGAAAAGATATCATAAAGATTCTACAAAGATTTTTAAAAAGTGAATATGTATGCCAGTATATCTAGAAACTTAGACTAAATATACAAATTTCTTTAAAAATAGAATATATTAAGTTTATACAAGAAAAGTGTAAGCTCTGAATGGGCCTATAACTATTTAAAAATTGAATGCTTAATTAAAAATTATGTCACAAATAAAATCTCATGCCCAGTTGGCCACAAATAGAATTCTTCCAAATGTTTAAGGAAAAAATGTCACCAATATTGTACAAATTGTTCCAGAGAAGTCAGGAAAAATTATCCTAAATAAAATATACAATGTTCCTAAATAGACACATTATTATAAAAATGGTAGATCTCCCCACATTGGCCCACAGATTCGATGTATTCCCATAGAAATTTCAAAAGGTAATTTCGTACAAATAGACAAGTTCATTCAAAAATGCATATAGAAATGCAAGGGGCTGAGAATACCAAGGCAGTCTTGAAGAGGAAATCTAAAAAGCTGGAGAACTACACTATTGGTTATAAAGCTTACTAATATTATAAAACAGTGTTGCATTAGTTCATGACAAGTAAATCAAAGAACCAAAATAGCCCAGAGACAGACCTACACAGATGTCATTACCAGATTTGCATCAACGATGCCAACTCAATGCAGTGGGGAATGGATAGTGTCCTAAATAAGTAGTGCCTGATGTGGGCATCCATGTGGAATAAAGAACTTTGAAACTTAGATCATTTGCAAAAACTAATTGCAGATATATTGTAGATCATAATTAAAAAGTCAAAAGTAAGCACCTGGGGTCAATTACCAATTAGTGGGAATGGGTAGAAGTTCAACAGTAAAGAATGAAGGAATGAGTGAATGGCATGATAAAAGATAGCACACAGGTCTACATTTTACAAGAGTCTGAATTGTAAAGGGACTCATAGAGTGAGTGGTGGAAACCAGCATATTTGAGGCAGCTTGGGAAGAGGCAAGAAGAGGTGGAGATTGAAGGTAAAAGAGGGGGGGATATTTGATGAAGTGAAGGTAAAGGCGTCTGAAGAAGCAAAACTGGAGAAGGGGGATGAAAGGAGATTTTTGATCCTGAATTGCATTCATATAAGAAATAGCAGCATTCCTGTGAATTATATGCAGTGACATCCTTTTTGATATCTAACATGATTAATTTGTTTAGGTGGTTTGAACCTTTTGTCATGCAGTGGCTAGATGAAAACGAAGATGTATCAGTGGAGTTCCTTCATGGAGCACTGGGAAGAGACAAAAAAGATGGAGTGAGTTTAAATTGTCACGATTCAGTCACATTACTTGCTTTTAAGCTAATGGAAATGGTTAGGCTTATTGTTGTTACTAATGTGGTTTTGTTTTAATTCCCCGATGACCAAAATCAATTTAAAACACAATTTCAAAGGGATGGTTAGAACCCTAGAGAATTGCTTAAATTAAAAAAAAAAAATCAATCACCCCAAGAATCTTTGTTCCAAGATTCTTCTTTACTTCTCAAATTGGTCTGAATCTACAAATTCCTCAAGCTTGTACAAAACTTCTATGTTGTCCTGGAACCTTTCTAGGATTTCTAGATTAGGAGCAGGTACCCTCCCAGTCCCTCTAAAGCATCTCTCAAAGTCTTGAGCCACAACCAGCTTGCCAAGCTATTCTAATGAGCACCGGAAGGAGAAATATGAAAGGACCGGTCCCACAATTCAGCAGTCGAAAAACCAATCAGCAGTAGCTTGGCCCAGGATATTAGTTCCACTACACTTTCCAGAAAAGGAGATGAATGATTTTAAAGTGAGTAAGCATTTTATTACTGGGAAATGTAGGTAAATGTTATGAAAGATTTAATTGTTTATGTGAAATAATGAAGATTCTTTCTACGCCCCTGCTAACACCCTTATTGGTATGGTCTCACCTCCTCTCCCCTCAGTTCCAGCAAACATCTGATCATGCCCTCTTCTCTTGCTCCGTGGTTGACGTCTTTGCTCAGCTGAATCAGAGCTTTGAGATTATTAAGAAACTGGAATGCCCTAATCCTGAAACATTATCCCACTTAATGAGAAGATTTGCAAAGGTAGGTTAAATGGAATGATCTTTTTCTTTTCCTGGGACTTTGGCAACCTGAAACATGCCGTTGTTTTATAGTATTAGTGTTCTCTGACACCGCTACCCCAATTTAATTTGTAATTCTCTACTAATAGGTTCAGTTGTTTCTAAGATTGTCATCTGATTTACTGGACTTCCTATTTCTTTAGTATGGATTTTTCATCTTAAAAACCTATTTGTTCACATTGATGACTCAGTCACTTATTTTATTTTTTAAATCTCTAATATTCTTTATTCAGGAATGAAAATTCCAGGTTATAAATTGTCTCTTTCTACAAAAATTTAATACATTTTATTTTCTCTTCCAAATTATAGAGGTATAATTGATAAATAAAACTTGTATATATTTAGG